ATATTATTTTAGTGGATTTGAGAAATCGTCGATGAAAAAGCCGAAATCACCTTTCCAGCAACCCGATGCAATAACAAACGTTATTTGATCTGCACATGTTTCGCACACGTGTTTCTCTCTTGTTTGTACACATTTCTTTACCGGAACGTTATTATTATTATTACTGTTATTATTACCGTAGCTAGTCGCAAGTTTTCTTTCGTGCCGACGACGCTCCGCGAAGAAAAAAGAAAAAAAGTTAGGTCATTTTGTCAGACATATTTATGACTTCGACCAGCCGAGCACACAAACATTCCGTGTTTTCATTCACGCTGGATCTGTTACATCACTCTCGCCGCGATTCGACCACACACGCACGTACATACATATGTACTTGGTACACATTTACACCTCGCTCGTACACACCGGTTTCGGATTCCGAAAAAAAAATTATGCATTCAGAGATTACGTGGAAACGGATTCCTTTTTTTTTTCTTTTCGAAAAGTCATTATATTTGTCGCTGGTTTGCGCAAGGCGATTCGCGGAGGCAGCCGAGTCGTGTTCTTTTCTGCGCCCCGCGCGTATAACCGTGTCATTGTGGAACGCTTTCTCACGAGGTCTTGACAAAAGAACACGTAGACACGCACGTACCGGTCAAGTTCACGTTCCACAAGTGCATTTTCCCTTCGGGAGATACGCGACGCTGCATCACGCGTATTACTCTGGCCGTTCAAACTCTGCACGCCTCTCGCTTAAAAGGCTGAAACGTTCGCGAATTATTACGCGCGAGTTTCCCTTGCGCACGAAACTGCTTCGGCGAAGATAAGAGAACTTTAATCCTCGAACGGCGGACCGCGTCTACGAAAACGTAACTTGATACGTTCAGAATCATTTGTAATTTTATTTAGCAATTTTTACAACGTATTTTCTAATATACAGAGTGTCCCAAAAATGTCTCGCAAATCCGAAACTGGCGGGTTCCTCGGGCCATTCGAAACAACTTTTTCCTTTACAAAAATTTTCTGCGAGGCGCCGTTAACGAGTTATCAACGAAAAACAGCGACCAATAAGAATCGAGTACGGCTGACGCGAGGCGGCCCAGCCAACCGGCGCGCGAAGCCCGGTTCCGCTCATTGGCTCGGTCGCCTAGCGCCAGCCGAGCTCGCCTTTCATTGGTCACTGTTTTTCGTTGATAACTCGTTAACGGCGCCTCGCAGAAAATTTTTGTAAAGGAAAAAGTTGTTTCGAATGGCCCGAGGAACCCGCCAGTTTCGGATTTGCGAGACATTTTTGGGACACCCTGTATGTGCGTCTTATAGACGCGTTAGATTTTGTAGAAAGCTTGATGGAACTGTCGACAATTTGAATTAATCGTCGCAAACTAGATAGTCGAATAACGATATTTATATCCTGGGTCCAAGTGGGCCCGAGTCTCGCCGAAATCGCCTAAGGAACTGTCTACTGCGTAATGGAACCGTCGACAATTTTAATTAATCCGCGGAAACTAGATACAATAATGTCTCTCTAATTGACGCTCAGATTGTCCACAAAAATGGACAATTTGAGAAAAAGAGATACGAGATTATTCGAGTCTTGCGGTTCGTTTTTATAATTACGAATTGTCAACAACTATAAACAAACGAGCTACAGGGCTCGAATAATCGTATCTCCTGTTCCCAAATTGTCCATTTTTGTGCGCAATCTGAGCGTCAGTTAGAGAGACATTACTGTAGTCGAATAACAATATTTATATTCTGGGTCCAAGTGGACCCGAGCCACGCCGAAATCGCCTAAGATATCGATCGGAGGAACGTAGTACATAAACCGTTGATGCGAACAGTGTATGTATTCGTGTCTTATTTATTCCACAGCTCCGTATATGCACTTGTGCAGCATTTCCTCAGTTTTCACTCGTAGAGTGACACGATCGCGTCCGGCGTTGGCCATAAAAACTTGGAAAGTCCGTCAATTTATAGTTTTAAAGTCTGGGAATTTCTTTGAAATATGCGAAGAAAATTTATGAAAATAAATTTTTTCGAAAGACATTAATACCTGTCCGACATACGATGCGTTAAATAATTCTCCGCCAGATCGTAACAAATGGAATTCGTTCGAGCGAACAGTTTCTCATTAAAAAAAAAAAAGAAAAAACAAAAAAAACATTCCATTTGGAGACCGAGAATTCGCGTAACACGGGGCTCTTACTCACGCCGGGACTTTCCATTGCGGTAAATCAAAGATCGAATCGCGGACGCCGTTGTCCGGGAAAGCAAGAAGCAATCGTGTCGCGGCACACGGTTTTCCCGTCGCGACGAAATTTATAACCGTTTGTCGTGCGTGATAAACGTCTAATCTCGAACGGCGTAAAGTAATAGGAACGTGTACACCAGAGTATCGGCTCAAGAAAGGTTTAAAGGGTTAGGAATTAGAAGCCGAAGGGAAGAAGCAAAACGACGCAGCAGCGGCCGTTCGTGAGGCGGAGCATTTAGCCGAGAGATCGCGTGTAATACTCGCGACGCACGCGACTGCAAACATGGGACACGCGACATCGCGTTCTAGAGCCGTTTCATTTCGTTTCGACTCGACTGGACTCGTCTCGACTCGTCTCGACTCGTCCCGTCTCGTTCGGCTCGGTTCGGTTCCGTCCGCCCCACCTCGGCGTGCGTGTGTACGCCGAATGTCACGCCATCACGCCATTAACCGCCCGGTGCATTATGCGCTCTCGGACCGTCGTCTGCGTTAGGTGGCATTGCCCGCGGAAACTATTAGGGGGACCTAAGAAAGGAAACGAAACTCGAACATGACCACGCCTGATTCAATAACTTCGTCGTCATTGTACTCATCGTCGTACCGAGTATGTATACACCACGCGTGTTGTACTTACCGACACTCGTTGTATACCGTGTACTATATTCCAATGTCTCGTTGCGCGAACAAAGCGTCCTTTTCACGGCACATGTTTACATCGAATCAATTTCGATTTCGTCACGTTTTTATCACATACATTGTACAATGTACCTATGTATACTAATATAACGAGAGTTTGACATTATTCGAATAATGTTTCACTTCGAACATTTCGATTAAATTTTTCCAACGAAACTTTATTCGAATAACCTTTCGGACGGTTGTAGGTTAGAATTCGGTACGAATTCTACGAACAAAATTTTATTCGTATAATATCTCGAATAAATTCTTCGAATAATATTTCGAATAGATTATATTGTCGTATAAAATTATAAAATTCGTATAAAATTACATTCCTTGTTCGTTGTGCAAATAAAATATGCCGAATATCGTGTGCTAATGCCTATCATCTTATAGATCGCCGGTCGCAAGACTGTTATTCCAATGGGAATAACGACAATATACAGGGTGTCCCAAAAATGTCTCGCAATACGGAAATGGTGGATTCTTTAGGTTATTTGAAGTAACTTTTTCCTTAGCGAAAATGCAAACCGCGGCTTCGTTCACGAGTTATTAATGAAGAACGCCAACCAATAAGAAGCGAGCTCTGCTGACGCGAGGCGACCGAGCCAACGAGCGTGCGAAGCCCAGCTCCGCTCATTGGCTCGGCCGTCTCGCGCCAGCCGAGCTCGCCTCTCATTGGTCACTGTTTTTCGTTGATAACTCGTTAACGGTGCCTCGGAGAAAATTTTTGTAAAGAAAAAAGTTGCTTCAAATGACCTGAGCAACCTGCCACTTTCGGATTTGCGAGACATTTTTTGGACACCTGTATAGTTTCTGCTGAATCCAAACGTCTCGCCGCAACTCACGGCGTAACCGAGAGAAATTGTCGTAAGAAACTCCGTACAATTAAGTACATACATACATATATGGAAATGTTTCTATACCGCGTAGCAGCTGCGACAGGATTGTGGGATCATAAACATAATAAAATCGCCAAGCTTTTAGTTAATCCTGACACCAGTTTCAGTATAATTATGTTTCGCCGTATTTTGTTCTACTATTTGCACAGCGTCGATAATTATTATTACTTGTCCATATTAACACTATGCCGTCCGCAGATCTCAGATATGATTTTTCGTTCGACGCCGGCATAATGGCTTGGAGATTTTAGATTTACAAAAAAATTTCGAAGATGGCGGCAATATAAATTCCTAAAATTAAGATACGTCATCCAAGAATTTTCGTGCTTAATTCTTAGTTGAATAAGCACAGTGCTATTAGTTAGTTAGCTGCCTTTTAACACCCAAGAAATATAGTTCAAATGTTATCTCAGTTTTTTATTTATATATTATATAAATTATATATATATATATATATATATATATATATATATATATATATATATATATATATATATATATATATATGTATTATATTATATATATATTATTATATATATTATAGGTTTTGTGGTACCACCGGCACACAACAGATAGTTTTTGCACGGCACCAGCGTGGTGCCACCGGACAGCATAGTGTTAAAATCGAAGAATGTTGTGTCTTAACCCTTTGCACTCGAGTGGTGACCCTGAGACACCGCTAGAATTTGTTATATCACATTCCAAAATAATATTTATGTTAAGAAAGTTTAGATCGAACAAATTGTTAAATTGTGTAACTGTCGTGCGAGGTCACACGACTCAATTTCATCACAATTCATCACAAAATGCACTGTATCATATAAAATGAAAATGCTATAAGCCAGAAAAATTATTTTAGATTTACAGATAAAATGGCTCCGAGTGCAAAGGGTTAACAAACGTACAGCCGCGAATTGTTGTTTATTATATACTACTATAATACTACTATAATAACGACTATAATAATAACTAATAATAATAATAATACTAATATTATAATTAGTTAATATAATATTATAATATTATTAATATAATAATACTAACTAATAATAAAAATAAATAATAATAATAACTACTATAATAATACTATAATAATATATACAACTATATTGTAATATAGGTGTATATATATATATTCGCAAAAGGTATCGGTTCAGAAGAATTATACCGTCCGTACCGTGGACGCGGAGCGTCTCGGCACCGTGAACCGGTGAAAAAAACGCGGCAGAGAGAAGCGGCTCGTAAATTCTGTATACATACACATGTATAACGGGTGCATGACCGAGCTGATGTAACCTATTCTAAAAACGAGACCGCGAACCGTGCGGCATTAACGCGCACTGCGCGTAGCCGGAGTGTACGATGTGATATTGACCGAGGCAGACAACTGTAGCGTGGCAGAGAGAATACTACATACGTACATACATACATACATACATACATACATGTTCGGATAAATTGCGTGGCAGGACAGAGACCGAATGGGATAAAGCGAGCCGTGGCCCGCTATGCAGATGACCGCGGGGATCGGGATCGATCGGGAAAGAAAGAGCTTCGCATACTCGTAAGTTATACGTTGCAGAGGAAAGAGAATTGCGGAGAAATCGCGCGTAAAACACAAGGATGCCGAACGGTGAACTGGCATACAATTGGCCAAAAAATAATTGCGTTTATCTTCTGTGTTTTGTCATTCGACAAAAAAGAACGCACCGTCTTATTGGCCGACCCGATAATTGAAAAATTGTTGTTGTTCTCGTTGAGAATCATCGAGACATCGTCGGCGCAATTCAAAGATGAAACTAGTCGAACTGCAAAGTGAACGCCGCCCTCGAACCGCGGCCATCTTGTCGAATGTGCAACTCCGCGGCACAGTATACAGGGTGTCCCGAAAATGTCTCGCAATCCGAAAGTGGCGGGTTCCTCGGGTCGTTCGAAGCAACTTTTCCCTTTACAAAAATGTTCTCCGAGGCACCGTTAACGAGTTATTAACGAACAAACAGTGGCCAATGAGAGGCGAGCTCGGCTGGCGCGAGGCGACCGAGCCAACGAGCGGAACCGGGCTTCGTGCGCTGGTTGGCTGGGCCGCCTCGCGTCAACCGTACTCGATTCTTATTGGTCACTGTTTTTCGTTGATAACTCGTTAACGATGCCGCGGAGAACATTTTTGAAAAGGAAGAAGCTGCTTCAAATGATCCAAGGAACCCGCCATTTCCGGATTGCGAGACATTTTTGGGACACCCTGTATATACCTATGGCCTGTGAAAAATGTGCGAGGGGCTCGAGGAAAATTTTTGAAGCGCGGGGCGAAGGAATCGTGAGAAACGAACGAACGGAAAAAACTACCTGGAGAAAGCTGCGCGGAATAACCGCGCGACCGTTGTCTCAGTTTCCGAAGCTGGCTGGTGCGAACGGTCCGAACGTTCGAATAATTTCGAACCTTTATTTACAGCCATCGTGCACAGCCAGCGAGGCAGCCGGTCAATCAGCCAGCCAGCTAGGTGGCTAGCCTGGTCTGCTGTTGCATCGTTTGCGCATGGTACGCTCGGCGTACCGTGCAGAAGGAGCGAGAATGATGCATAAAAGAAAAGCGAGAAAGAAGAAGTGGGGGAGGGTTGGGAACGGTTCGGGAGAGAGATGGGTCTGAGAAGAAAGGAAAAGAAGCGACTGGAAGGAGGAAGGAGATATGGCCGCGGGGGCACGGGGGGGCGGTATGGTAGGACTTTGCACGCGGCGCGTAACCGGTTACGCTACGAAGATATAGGTGCAGTAGGTAGATGAGAGGAGGGCAGAGAGGCAAAAGCAGTCGACCAACGAGCCAACCAACGGCTACACACGAGCGATGTCACCGCGCTAGTACTCTGCATGCAGACCGCTGTATGCTGTATGCAGGTAACAGTCGATGCATCGACGCTGCAGCTCGCTCTGCGCACGCGCACACGCGGCCGTGCGCATGTACCGGGTGTTCAGAAGATACGTCTACGATCGAAATCGAAAATCACGGTGTTACACGATAGAAATTCCGTCACTGTCGAACTTCGTGGTCGAAGCCATTCTAACTAACGAAATCCAAAATAGTTTTTCCGACTTTCGGTATTTCAATTTTATGTAACCGAGTACGTTTTATATATTATGGAATTTAATTCTGAGACTCGCAACTGATATTAAAGTTATTTTGAAACGCGTCACGGCAATTGACGACAATATTACAATTTTTAACGACGCCTCAGAGCCACCATACGACTGCAAAGGGTCGTAACTATTTTAATATCACTGAAATTATGACTACTCTTTCGTAGGAAATCATTGAATAAATTGCTTAATCCAAGTACTCGTTGTGGAAATAATAATAATAATAATAATAATATATTAATAATATTATGGAAATAATAATAATAATTGTGGAAATTCTACGCAAATTCAGTCTCACCACAGTACCATGTCGCGTCCCACGTGACATTATACGTTAGGCACGAATATCCGACGTTCGATACCAATACGTGAAACGTATCGAGCGACAAACAGAAGCAAGCAACTAATTCCTGCCACTTGGCAAGTTCCGATGGCGAACAACTGAAAAACGAAACCGAAACCGCAACTCCAACTTTCCTGGTTCTCGTCGCGTCTCGATTCGCTGGAATCTCCGTGGCAAAGTACAATCCGGACACCCGGTATATATTTCGCGCGCGCGTCTCCCGCCCATTTTCTTCATCCCCACGTAACGTCCCCTCTCTCTCTTCCCGCAGGCTCCCCTCCCCTGCTCCGCGGCCGGCTATTCCGATGAAACTTGCAGCATGACGTCACGCTCGTACACGAGAAAACGAGACGCGCGACGACGCTGCGTAGGGAACCTCGACGAAACCGTACGAGAACCGGGCGAGAGATGCTGCGCAGTTGGAACGGCAAGGTGCCTGACACAAGGCTCTCTCTTTCTCTCTCTTTCCCTCTCTTTCTTTTTTCCCTTCCTCTTCCTTCGAACCTCCTGCCCCGCTCTCCTCTTTCTCGGCGTCGTTACTCTCGCCCCCCTCCCTGGTTTGCTCCTGGTCCGTCTTTCTGGGCTATTTCTCTCGTTCCCTCTGCCTGTTTACAAACACGCGTAAACTCGGCCGAATACATGACATCATCGCGCAATCTCGTGAGTTGACGCCGACGCGACGTAAGGACGACGACGACGACGACAACGACGACGACGGCGGCAGCGGCGGTAGCGACGACGGTGAGACGACCGGTCCCCGTTCTCTCGCCGGGGCTGATCGATCTAAAGCGGCTGCTGTACTTTCATTTTCTCACGTCTCTCGTACCTTTCCAGCGCGAATCAATGCTCTGCGGATATTCACAAAGTCGCACGCCCTGGGAGACAGAATTCTCCAATATGCTAGACTGTCCTGCATCCATTGCTCGGATACTCTGTTGCGAAAGCTTGCAAATAATTGCACAGTTATTTCCGTTTCTATGGGGCGTAATTATTAAAATAAGACAACAAACCATTAACACTCGGAATTGGATATTATACAGGGTGTCCCAAAAATGTTTCGCAATCCGAGAGTGGCGGGTTCCTCAGGTCATACGAAGCAACTTTTTCCTTTACAAAAATTTTCTCCGAGGCACCGTTAACGAGTTATCAACGAAAAACAGTGACCAATGAGAGGCGAGCTCGGCTGGCGCGAGACGGCCGAGCCAATGAGCGGAGCTGGGCCTGTCTCTTATACACATCTAGATGTGTATAAGAGACAGGTTTTTCGTTGATAACTCGTTAACGGTGCCTCGGAGAACATTTTTGTAAAGGAAGAAGCTGCTTCAAATGATCCGAGGAACCCGCCATTTCCGGATTGCGAGACATTTTTGGGCAGCTTGAATGTTTGAATGTTAAAATTGTTAAAAGGTGACCGCTGTATTAATTACAAGACCCGATGCATAAATTGCAGTCATGTAAAATAAAATAGCTCAGTGATGTAAAATAAACTATTTATTTAATTTAACTTTGACATAACCTTAAAACTGTTAAAATGGTGACCGTTGTATTAATTACAAGACCCGATGCATAAATTGCAGTCATGTAAAATAAAATAGCTTAGGTCCGAAAAACTATTTTGGATTTCGACTTAAAATGGCTCCGAGTGCAAAGGGTTAATATATGTAATCTACGACCAAAATAATTGTATTATCCAAAAATACGTTCGCAGCGCGTTTCCTCTCTAAATTCCCGCCGAACTCTGCTACACATGTACATCTGTAATGGGGTGTTGGAAGTATTGGGTTGGCAACTAAGTAATTGTCGATTTGTTCAATGAAATAAAAATTCTTTTTTGCTTGGAATGAAGTTTAATCTGTAACGTATTTTCCATTTTGTTCGACGATCTTTTGCCATCTCTCTGACAACTTGAAAATTCCACGCTCGTAGAAAGTCTGATCCTTTTCGGCCAAAAATTGAGTTAAGTGGGATTTTACAGCGTCATCATCGTTAAAAGTTTTACCACGAAGGGAGTTGTCCAGGAATCGAAATAAGTGGTAAACCGATGGCGCGAGATCGGGGCTATATGGTGCGTGTAACATCGATTCCCAACCAATATCCATCAATTTTTGCCGAGTGGACAAAGACGTGCGCGGCCTAGCATTGTCCTGCTGGAAAATGACACCTTTACGATCGACCAATTCTGGTCGCTTTTCCTTGATCGCTGCATTCAATTTGTCCAGTTGCTAACATTCACGGATAATAAAAAATAACATAATAATAATAATAATAATAATAATTTTATAATATAACATTTACAGATATCATAAAAATGGGAGTGAGAGACATCTATAACTGAAATCGGCAATTACTTAGTTGCCAACCCAATATTTAGCGCTTGGTAGCCGCGCCGCGGATGTTTCCCGGCAGCATCTCCGCGATCGAATGGACAGCGGACCGGTCGTGCGAGAGAACAAACCGGCCGCGTGTTGTGTCACGAGGAAAACAGCGTAACGTAACGCATAACGTAATGTAGTGTAGCATCATTATCGCCCCTGCTCATCTCTCTACAGTTGGGTCCCGTGTCACGTACTGTCCGTGACTAGTAACGAGTAGACGAGCTATCGTGACGTCATCGTTATCAGTAGTAGGGTACTGAATTAGGTCGCATATCGCGCGCGTATCCTCTTCCCTTGGTCCATTTCGAACGGTAAACACTCGGCCACAGGGGTTGATTTAAAGGATCGTCCGTATCCTTGACCGTTCCCCATCACGCGAACCATGTCGGGGTTCTTCGGTCGTTTCCTCCTACCCGCCGTAAAAAGTGCCGACTTGCTCGAGAAGGGAACGCGGTCCTTTTTCGTTTCGACGGATATACGAAACCCCTAACAGCCGATAAGACAGAACTCTTCGGTTGCATAAGCGACCGAAATAGACATTTTTCATTTCAGATAAGAAATGGTCAGGAACGCGAGCAGCTATTCTATTCGTATGCTTCAATTTGTATAACAGGAAAACGTGTGAAACATTTTTCGTTGGATTTCGATCGATTTGTTGCTAGTTATTGTAATTCGAGTCAATTCATATCTCGCGTCGTATTATTATATATCTAATAATATATATATTATTATATCTAATATATATTATTATACAGGGTGTCCCAAAAAATGTCTCGCAATCCGGAAATGGCGGGTTCCTCGGATCATTTGTAGCAACTTCTTCCTTTGCAAAAATGTTCTCCGAGGCACCGTTAATGAGTTATTAACGAAAAACAGTGGACCAATAAGAATCGAGTACGGCTGACGCGAGGCGGCCCAGCCAACCGGCGTGCGAAGCCCGGTTCCACTCATTGGCTCGGTCGCCTCGCGCCAGCCGAGCTGCGCCTCTCATTGGTCACTGTTTTTCGTTGATAACTCGTTAACGGTGCCTCGGAGAACATTTTTGTAAAGGAAAAAGTTGCTTCGAATGACCCGAGGAACCCGCCATTTTCGGATTGCGAGACATTTTCGGGACACCCTGCATATTTGAATCGTTGGGTCGGGTTTGATACGGTAGTGAATAGCTCTGCCATTCGATAGAATACCGGCGATCGTCTAATATCGTTTTCAGAAATATTACACACCGCTGGCTCTATGTACATACATACGCTCGAAAATAAGGAGTACACACGGCGCATCCACGGTGCATCCACAAGCGTATCACTTTACATTCCGCTTGAGCGTGCATAGAAAGGAGTCCGCTCTCTGTGTGTATCTTTTACCTTCTACAGGGGCATTGCACACGACGACGCCTCGGCCGTTTCGGCCATCGATACGGGGTCAAGGACATGGCCGAATGGCGGCCCGCGAGATAGCATAACATCCGTAATAATAATACACGCCTTTAACGCGTTCCTATCACAGGGGTGGAAAACACTCGGAATCGGTCGGCCCGCCCGCTCGAAACGGAAATTCGAACGTTTCACCTGAAAAGGTGCATGAACCCCCGCCGACAGAAATAACCTAACGCAACCTCGGGTCAATATCGCAACGGACCCTTGAAGCGAGCCCGATGTTTTCGACGCGGATAGTCGCGGCCGGGCGACGGTGTTCCAGTAAAAGGTTAGTAGAGAGAAGCGCCGGATTGATTTTCCCCGGCTAGCATACATACATTGTAACGTGACAGAACGATATTATCTGCTGTGAACCGGCGCGTTGCTTTTTCGCAATTGAACGGGAACGATGCTTCTGACAAAGGAATCCGCGGGGCCCCCCGGCTTCTTGTTTGCCCGACGGACTTCTGCTAAAATTCCGTATCCGTACGCCGCGAGCACAAAGGGGACGTGCGTGCTCCGTAACGATATATCGTCACGATCAGCGAATCGTTTGGGAAACAAACAGGGTTTACGTGAATCTACATAGAAGCGGCGAGAGACTCGTGAATTTCCGGCACATAGAGAGAGAGACACGCCGTGCCGACAACGCCGCGCGATCGTTCGGCGACGTTGCCGTAGCCCCGGATGACGTCACGAGACATACGACTCTCGAGCGAGCACGTAAAGCAGCTCGCCGGCAAAGCCAGACTTACGCTCGAAAAACTACGACGCTCTCTTTGTTAATCGGATTCGAACCGATCGGGGATCGCGACTATGCCCCGGGCTAAGCGAATTCGTCCGCGAATCCTATACGATTCCTATGCCGCGTATTTGTGTTCGGATGAAATATACGAATCGCGTATCGAGACTCGTCGGCGACCATTTACATTCCCGAGTTTTTCTGGTCGCCAGAGCGTTTGGCCCTGGAGAGGGATAAGTCCGGTCGGAACGTACCCTCGGGTTAGCAAAATAAATATTAAGCGAGCGTGTTATGTTTCAGCGTTATGTTTAGCCGAGATATCTACTCGAGATTGCTCGAAAAAATAATACAATTGCGATTGTTAGAAATATTTATCGTAGAGGTTAACCTCGTTATATTATGCATTATAATATAACCTTGTAATGCAAGAAATGCTGATCTTAATTACAGTCTCAGCTTACATGGAACAATTTTATCGTCGTACTGATACACATAATTAGAATTTTATTTATTTTAATATACATAATTAGCTTTTTCTCTCGCAACGTTACTATTTGTTTAAACCGTGCATCCCTGTGCGTCGAACAATTTTATCACATTAATTCTCATACAATCAGAATTGTACAATCATCTTCATAATAACGTTAGTCTTTGTTTTTAAACATTCTCGCTTGCTTCCCGGTGGAAATAGTCTCGAATTTCATTGCAGCGCGATGAATAATGCATTTGTTATCTCCATTGATTTTAGTTGTCGACGATTAATGTACGGTTTTCCAATTGAAATGTACCGTTGATCGGCCAAGCGAGCTGCATAACCGTATTTTTACGCTGATTACGAACAGCCGAGTGAAATATTCCGTTAAAGACACTTTAAATTCCGTTACGTAATCGCTCAACCGGCGATAACCCTATGACACGTACCACCAGGTGTGTCCGGATATTTACTGTCAACTCGAGTTATCAAACGTTAAACTATTTAAAAAATTATCGTATTTTACGATAGAGATCTCGGCGCGTTTACAGTGCTCGTGCTCTTCGTGCTCGTGCGCCGCGAACATTGTAAACACAACGGTTCTTATGCACGGCCCGTTTTTTCAAAAATCTTCCGCTCTGAATCGATCGCCATCGCAGATCGCGGATAATCTTGGAAATCTCTGTAACACCGTATCTCTTGCAAATACGTATGTACATTCGCTTCGACCCTCCAAATTGACGCCTACCGTCATTAAAAATAACGGATGTGTAATACTTAACAAGAAAAATAGATCTGAATTTATGTAAATTTTCCGCCCCATTTTTGTTACAACATACGCTATATAACTAACAATATTTATTCAATCATTTTCTACGAAAAAGTCTCTATAATGCCAACAATTTTAAAATAAAAATCGTGATTGCGTCGATCCTTAATTGTCTCGAGAACGCGACAATTCTGTTCTAATTTCTTGTAGAAATCACGAATTCGAATTGCTCGAAGATTCCGGATCTAATTATTTACGACAGCCGCACAAAGTATTCTTCCACGGATTTGAAACGTTCGCGAAAATATTCAGAATTCTGTTCTCTTAAAACGTACAGCGGAAACTTGTCCGATCAGATAAAAAACTGCAGCGGACATTTCGATGAAAAGAAGATGCCAACAGGGCAGACCTGTCTACCGCGTGTCTCGACGAAGCGGAAATAATTCTGTAGCGCGTCGCACTAGATAAAGTTGCCCTATCATTTGCCCCTATGAAATACATACATACAGACATTCATACATACATACGTACGTACATACATATAGTAACCCACTGACGCGCGCACGTTAGACACACGTTCACCGTTTGGCATGTGGCGCCTCTTAATAAATTTCTGTTTTATCATAGACGATTATCTCGATTGATTTCGACGAAACGACCTCCCACCTACACAAAATGTAGAGATCTGTTATGTTATATGCCGCTATAGTTTTTATAGCATTTTTAATAACATTAGAAATGGTAAACATTCTTATCGGCTGTATCGCTGAACAGTTTCGTAAAAATAACAATATTCATGACACGGAATGTCTGGCGACTGTGTGTGTGTGTGTCTGCCGACGACTGCTTGTGTATAGACAAATTTATCCTAGGTCCTGAATCGCGAGCTTATACGGAGGTAAGATTGCGCGCGGCCAAATGTAACGGCACGTTTTTCGATCCGTCCGCCGATAGTATTATTGATAGAACCCGAGAACGATAATAACGATTAAGGTTATCGATAAGAGCGCTGTTGGGACGGCTGCAATTTTTTTTCGAGGTCCCCAGATAAAGTCGCGTGAACGAAGAAATCGTTCAACTTTCCAGAGAACAGTGTCGGAGCATGTATATGTACAGTAAGGTCTCCTTAATTGACGCTCGGATTGTCCACAAAAATGGACAATATGGGAAGAGGAGATACGATTATTCGAGCCGCTTGCGGTTCTATTTTTATAGTTATAAATTGTCCACAATTATAAAAACGAGCCGCGAGGCTCGAATAATCCTATTTCCTCTTCCCAAATTGTCCAATTTAGTGGACAATCTGAGCGTCGGTAAGGGAGACATTACTGTACATGTATTTGTTCTTTACGCACTTTCAAAACTGGTTTCGGATCTCTTCCAAAAATATTGAAATTACAGAGTACATTATTTTTTTTCTTCGAACGAAGGACTACGTTGAAAGTTACGTCGTTACAAAGTTGTATCGGAATATGATGTCAGAGTGATGTCACATCTGTAGATATCGGCTGGTACTGTTTAACAGAGGCACATAACGTGCGAAGAACGTTTTATCAATCAATTAAACGTTCGCGTTATTTTATCCGCTCGCAAACGTACATTGTAGCAGTGTAGTAGTAGTAGTAGTAGTAGTAGTAGTAGTAGTAGTAGTAGTAGTAGTGGTAGTAGTAGTAAACGCAGTCCCAATATTTATCGATTACATGCACGCTTCGTAACGAACGAAAGCATCCGCCATTTTGCCCGAACAATCGAAACGTAAAAAACTATCTACCATCGCGATAAAAGATACTACAATATTTACATTTTCTATTTTTTCTTTTCCGTCATCGCGAGGTTGGACGATAATATGCAACGTTTCTCTTGCTGATTACGGCGCTCGGTTTATTTGGTTTTGCTTTCGGGCGAGATATCGAAATTAGATTTCGACATCGGGCGCGTCGTTTCGAGATGACGAAAAGATATTATCGCGGACGGAACAATAATCACGCGATTTAATACGTTTCCAGATAACGCCGTCTCAACAATCTTATCGGAATCTTTTCTCTTTCAACGCCGCTATTAATCGGTTCAGCATACAACGAATTTTTCCTCTTCGTTGGAACGACCCGGATGCTCTTCTATGGCGTAGCAACGTTTTCACGATCAGCATCATCTGCGAACAAAGGAAAAAAACGTGAGGCTAAAACGACAGGATTTTATTAACGAGGCTGTAAACATACGTGATCGAGAAAACGGATCTGATGTATCGTTAACGTGTACCTTTGCTGCTGCAACAATATACAGGATGTCCGAAAAATGGCTTGCAATCCGAAAGTGGCGGGTTCCTCGGGTCATTCGAAGCAACTTTTTCTTTTACAAAAATTTTCTCCGAGGCACCGTTAACGAGTTATCAACGAAAAACAGTGACCAATGAGAGGCGCAGCTCGGCCTGTCTCTTATACACATCTAGATGTGTATAAGAGACAGACTTCTTCCTTTGCAAAAATGTTCTCCGAGGCACCGTTAACGAGTTATCAACGAAAAACAGTGACCAATGAGAGGCGCAGCTCGGCCTGTCTCTTATACACATCTAGATGTGTATAAGAGACAGACTTCTTCCTTTGCAAAAATGTTCTCCGAGGCACCGTTAACGAGTTATCAACGAAAAACAGTGACCAATGAGAGGCGCAGCTCGGCCTGTCTCTTATACACATCTAGATGTGTATAAGAGACAGACTTCTTCCTTTGCAAAAATGTTCTCCGAGGCACCGTTAACGAGTTATCAACGAAAAACAGTGACCAATGAGAGGCGCAGCTCGGCCTGTCTCTTATACACATCTAGATGTGTATAAGAGACAGGCCGAGCTGCGCCTCTCATTGGTCACTGTTTTTCGTTGATAACTCGTTAACGGTGCCTCGGAGAACATTTTTGTAAAGGAAGAAGTTGCTTCAAATGATCCGGGGAACCCGCCATTTCCGGATTGCGAGACATTTTTGGGACACCCTGTACACATGCTATAATACATGTGCTATGTCCGTTCTGTACGGCGAGCCTCCTCTGCGACCGTTATCGCGTTATTTCCTTATCGCGAAAGAAAACCCGATAAAATGGCACGCCGCTATGCGATCGCCCAGCTTGCGGTGCGGCACGAATAGCCGGCCATTGTTTATGTCATTCGTTCGCCGCAATTTCGCTCGAGCGCGTCTCAGCGGATCCAATTCTTCCTGGACACAAAGCCCCGTTATTAATCGACGATAATCGTGAGATAAGGCAGGTCGTGAAACGTCCACGTCAAGATCACTGTAAAAAAAAAGAGAGTCATCGGCAATCGTGAAACGGTACACGTGTATCGTTCCTGTAGCCTCTGCATCAATGAACGGATACCCAGTTGCAACTATCGCATTTAAAATTTGTCTCACGTTCCCGGCGAAAGGTCGTCAAATAAATTTCAATGGCTTCACGTCGCTCGACGATTCGTACGTACATATAATATGCACCGGCTAATTGTAGCCAGAGAATCGTAAACTACATTCGGTGGAGGCAACGAAGAAAAAGAACATTGTATTCAACGTTATTGCCGGTGAACACGCATCTGGCCGACCCGGATGAACCGTCGGAAGATCAATCGAGCATACATTCGTAAGCCGAACCGGACCGCGGCACTTCTCCCGACACACATTTTATTTCTCGAATTGAGAAACACACCGGCGGCCGGGGCGCATATCGGAAATGGGTGGAGCCGTTTTCGATCTTTGCAACACCGTCGGATTCGTGTCGCCGATTCTCCACGACCGAGAAAACCGTGTGCGGACGCTAGAAAATCACACGGTCTCGTTCGTTATTGGTAACGCAAGGATCCAACAGCTTCGTAATCCGTAACGATATTCTCCACTTACCTTCGATTTTATCAATTCGATTTTAGTAAACAATAATTTCCATTCTGGACGACGTACTGTTACAACAACGTAACCATCGTTCGGATTGGACGCATTGTACTCCACATTTGAATCGAAGTGTAGACAAGAAATAGTATTTTCTCTAACCTAAAATATCGAACGAAACAATATTTGCTTCATTCAAGCATCAAACGAAATAATATTTCGAAACAGCATTAACTTTGTGCGAATATTTCGACGTTTACTGTTTTCTAAAAATTTCTACGAAGTCTTCGTCAGCGTTAGCAGCATTTTCTCCAGTGTAAAGTGGGCCTCTCGTCGCGAGAAGAGTGGGTACGCTGATCAAGTGCGCGCGCGTACAATCTCCATCTTTCTTTTTCCCCTCGTATTCGCCGTCTTCCTCCCACCGCCGCGATCCGTTCGCGCTCGAGTCCCGGTCGCTGACTACGTGTCCCCCTAGGGCGGCCGCGGCGCGCATGCGCGGCCTCGCGGCTCGCGACTATGACGTCACGCGGCATGACGCCACAACGCCCGATTGGCGGAGCGCGTCGTAGCCGTCGTTGTGTCGTCGTCGGCCGTCGTTGTGTTCTACCCGTGCGTGGTGTATACGCGGATAGTGTAAGTGGGCGGCGGGGTGAGGGAAAAACGAGCGAGCGAGCGAGCGAGCCTGGAGCAGGCTGAAGGGCGAGAGGAGGGGGGGACCGACACCCGTAGCTCCGCTTTACCGCCGCATTCTCGAGCGTTCGTCTCCGTTCGTCTCCTCGTACGGCAACCAGGCGAGCGAGAGCCGCACGTCGTGTCGCGAGCGCGCATACCATTACTTTGTCTGGTGTGTCTCGTGTTCAACCTAGAATACGATTCCCTAGTTTTCGTCCATCGGTGTCCGTCTTTGTATCCCGAGTGGCGTCGACATTCGCACAGAGAGCCCCTCGATCGAATCAATCCGTCGGTTTCCGTTTAACGATTTCACTGCGAACGGGTAAGTTGCGGCAACAAATATATATATATATATATCTGGCGTCGTCGGAGTGTCGTGCTCTTTTTTATTCTCTGTCGCGGGCAGCTCGGTTCGGGGGCCGCCGGCCGTAATCGAACGCGGTGTTTCGCCGTCGAACGGATTTTTCGCGTCGAAGAAAACAGCTCGAATCGACAGAAGAGAGCCTCTGCTACGTTCCCTATTCGCTCTGGCCGCTGCGTCGTTCCATGCAGCCGCGGCACCTCGACGAGTGGAAAGGAAGCGTGAAATTCACTCGGTGGGAGTATCGAAGTGATCATTATATTTTCCATTAGTGTGAAGTTGGTTTCGCGTGGTGTTTGTATATATTTATATATATATACATATATATATATATATACGCGGTGTTTGGCACACGATCCGAGACCACAACGGCGTACACCGTATTCCCGAATATGCTGTAAATGAGCATATAATATAAATCGACTCTGTTGTGCGAAGTTGTTGATCGGAGAAAAGTGTGCGTCGAATAGAAGCGTTCGCGGTAAAGCGGGATAGAAAATAATAGAACGTGCGTTAATAGTGTGGATGTGAGTGTGACGAAGGAGAAGAACGGTTACCGTCTTTGATCGGCCGCCCCTAATACACGGACGAGAAAAAGCTGTCCTGCAAAAATGATGGGGAAGAGAACGCAGTGTTACTTGTGCGACCTGCCCAGGATGCCTTGGGCCATGATCCTGGACTATTCGGAGCCCGTGTGCCGCGGTTGCGTGAACTACGAGGGCGCCGACAGGATAGACCTGGTCCTGGAATCGGCGAAGCAGATGAAGAAGGCTCACGGATTCCAAGAGGCCAGATCCTCGACGACCAAAGCGTACAGGACGGCCGGGCACACGGAGCACAACGGCGGCACGAACATGGACGTTCTGCCGATACAGAACACCGGCCAAAGCCATTCGAGGCATCACAACATAGCCGGTTACTCGCAGCTCCATCACAGAAACTCGATCACCGAATTTAATTCCGGCACCGCGAGGCTGACGATGGCGCGCCAGCACGAGGAGACTCATGAAATTCAAAATGGCATGAAGAGCAACAACGTGAGGATCCCGAACGCCCACCTAGCCGCGGTGGCGCATCACGTGAACCTCAGCCACAACAGGGGCATCGCACAGCTCAAACGCGGTATCTCCACTATCGACGAGGACGAGCACGCGGACAAGAGGCTCTCCTTGGAGGAACAGCATCCGGTCAGGCCGCCATTGACCAGGGGCGATTCCCTGCCGACCGGCCTCGCCGTCAGCTACGTGCAGGATAGAAACAAGGAGAAACACCCGGTCAGGGCGCCCAGCTTCGAGACCGCCACCACATTTAAGTCGAACGGTGAGTTTACCCAGATGGCACGACGCTCTACGCCCCGATTCTCTCCGCGCGCTTCCATTGCATTTCCGCCGTCGTAAATTCGGCCCCGCGTCACGTGATCCCGCCATTCTTGGAATTCGCGTCCAGCTGAAGGGTGTCGCGAATGTGTCGTGTTCTTGCCGCTGCTGTTTCCGATACACGGAGACCCGCGAATAACTCGCCTCGAAATCGGAAGACAGTGTGATAGAAATGTTTCTATACGTAATAGAATGTATAGAATGTTTAACTAATAATAATAATATAATATAATAATGTAACTAATGATAGAATGTTTCTTGGAAGTTTTTTGTCCGGTAAATCTGCAGTTCAGTGACTTCTGCCCTAAATCCGATTATTTTTTTTCTGCGCTTTCTTTTCGAAACGCTTTATTTATTTTATCGTGAATTTTACAAATCGGCGGAGCTTGGAAAAATAATGTGCTGTTACTAGTCTCCTTTTTTTTCTTTTTTTTTTGAAGGGGAGAGGGAGAGGAAACGTGACATTCGCAAATTCTTCGTAACGAAGCAGAACGGCTGCAACGATCTCGATGATCTTTTAAATATTAGTTGCAAAGGACCGTATCCCGAACAATTTTTTTTCCTCTTCCATTTAGCGTCGGCCTTCGTGTCCGAGATATTAGGGACAAAATGTTGCGTGTTTAGCATCCGTCGGTCACCGCGACGTGTATACGAGAACAGAAGAGGAATTCGAACGTAGAAGTGGCAACAGTTTTTTTTTTCTAGGATCGATCGCCGATTCTTCAAAGGGAGAAAGCCGTTCAAAATATCGTCCTGTATAACGTGCCTCGAAAATATCGGAATCGATTCACGCGTTCTACAGTTTTTCTTTTAAATTTTATATTCTTCTATAAGCAACCAGCGAAAGCGCATTATTTTCCCAAGCACCTTCGATTTATACTTCCTTTCAACGATAAAATGAAACGTTTAACCCTTAACGGTCCAATGCCGCCATACACGCGGCAGAAATCAGTAAAACCGTAAAATCTAGCAGGAAACATTGTAAGAATAGGCACGATTGTTTCGATGAGACTATATCGACGAAGTTTTATTTTTAAAAAATGAATATCTCTTCTCTATATTTGATACAAAAATTTTCAGTTAAAAAATTTCTCTTCGTCTGAAAAACAGTCTGTCACTTGGCAGTGTGTAAACTGGAAATAAATAGTTCTGCTCCCCTAAGGGTTTAACCCTTTGCACTCGAAGCCATTTTAACCGTAAATCTAAATTAATTTTTCTGACTTACGGTATTTCCATTTGATATGACAAAGTGCGTTTTGTGTGCATATGAAATCGAGTCTTGCGACAGTCATGCAACAGTTAAGACTTTTAACAATGTTTTACATCTAAACTTTGATAATATAAAAATTATCTTGGAACGTGATGTAACAATTTTTTAGCGGTGCCTCGGAGTCACCATTCGAGTGCAAAAGGGTTAAAAAGTAACCGGGGAAAAATAATTTCGGGGCGAACAAACTCGCCAAACTGCAGATTTTCCAAACAAGTTTCCTCGTGTCCCGTCCCATAGACATTTTTAAAGCGAACAACGTTTCGCTGGATCTTTTATTGGCGTGCGGTAAAAATAGATGTACGTTTCAGTGGTCGCGTGGCCATCTGGCAGGAGAAAAGAGCCGTATGCGTGCGTTAAAAGACGCGACGCGGGCCCTCGGGCTTCGAGTTTCGAAGAATCACAGCCGGATTAACCCTTCGCACTCGAAACTATTTTAACTGAAAATATAAAATCATTTTTCTGACTTATAGTATAGTCTACTCTATATGACAAAATGCATTTTATACATTTGAAATTGACTCTTGGGACTAGCACAACAGTTACGCTCTTAACAATTTTTTAAATCTGAATCTTATTGGTGTACAAATTATCTGAAAACGTGATGTAACAAATTTTAGCGGTGCCCTGTGTACAATTATTAGCCGTTTGCACTCGAAGCTATTTTAACTGTAAATTGTAATAAATTCTAATAAATAAAATGTAGAATCGTTTTTCTAACTTACAGTATTTTTATTTTATACGACAAAATGCATTTTATGCATGCGATGTTGACTCTTGGGACCCACGCAACAGTTGCACTATTAACAATTTTTTTAAATCTGAACTTTATTAGTACAATAAAATGTAGAATCGTTTTTCTAACTTATAGTATTTTTATTTTATACGACAAAATGCATTTTATGCATACGACATTGAGTCTTGGGACCCACGCAACAGTTGCACTGTTAACAATTTTTTAAATCTGAACTTTACTAGTACAGAAGTTATCTTAAAACGTGATGTAACAAATTTTAGCGGTGCCTCAGAGCCATCACTCGAGCGCAAAGGGTTAAAGGATATCGTATCTCCGTTCCCTCTCTCTCTCTCTCTCTCTCTTTCTCATCTTCCGACGACGAACGCATTAGCGCGGCCGGCTCTCTTGTATCCCAAAGCCGGTTCCTTCATTCTGGACGAGAGACCGGCAGTCGTCCAAACGCGTATAAAGGAGACGTACGTCGAGCACGTGATGGGACGACCGAAAGATACGAGTTGCCGCGCGCGGTGACGTCCGATCGGATGACGTCACACGGTATATTTAGATACAATGAATGAGACCGTTGTTGCTTTATTACGAATCTCTCGTCGACGGCAGATCATTTTGCGAGTATAATTGTGATTAGTGAATCCTAACGGAGCCCGGTCGGGGTTGGGCTAGGTCGGTCTCTCTCTCTCCAGAAGCGCGCGCGCGTGTTACCATCGGCGAGAATATTTTTTCCCCCAGTCGATGCCCTTTCGCGCAGAGCACACGTCCATGTTTCTCGCGCGAGCCGAACAGTAGTGCGCGCGTATGTGTGTGCGTGCGCGCGCGCGTGTTCACTCTGTTTACCAATTATGGGCCGTTCGTGAATCGCATTACTTTCGAATGTCTACACAGCGGCGTAGAACGGAATTTGAATTTCTGATTGCCGCGCGTAAAATAATCCGTTCCTACTGTTAATCCGATCGTATCGGCGCGGCACGGCCACTTTCATGAAAACCGGTTCGCAGTCCGCAGCGGCACGATATTTTGCTGCATCGCGGAGAGCTAACTGTAGCGTGGCCCCCTTTTTCTTGCGCTCTTTTTTCGTAGTAGGCTCTCTCATTGACGAGTGGCGGTTCGAAACGCTTCGCGTTTTGCCGCCCGTACGCGTACCTACCTCTCTACGTACAGAGCCCGCGCCGGCCCGACCTTGGTCATCGACCGTTATTTCGACACTGGCCACTTTCTAATTCGACCTTAACGCGCGCGCGTGTGTGTGTTTACGGTTGTCGAATGGCTAGCATCGGTTACGGTGATTACACGCACGCGATCGTCGGACCAGTTCTTCTTTTTTCTTTTTTCTATTTTTTCTATTTTTTGCGTTCGGTAAATATAGTTTTGAAAAAGTTTCGATCACGTTCTTGTTAGATAAATCGGTTTCGTTTTATTGTTCTCCGTGAACGGTGACCGGTTCGACGCGTGTATTCGACGAACAATTTTTGCGATATTTTCATCGTTTGTAGTTCCATCGAGACTTAAACACTTCCACGACCGCGCTAGAAAGCTGACAAATTTTCATAAAATTGAAATATTTCATTCGGTTAAACAAAAATTACGAAGCACACTTATGTGACATCGATTACTTCTTCGGCATTCGTGCCTTTTGCGGATCTTAATGAAATGAAGCAATCATTTTTAATTTTTCATTGATCATCCATTCGGTCACCGATCGACTGAATTTAACCCTTTGCACTCGAGTGGTGACTCTGAGGCACCGCTAAAATTTGCTATAACACGTTCTAAGATAATTTTTACATTAACAAAGTTTAGATTTAAAAAAAAATTGTTAAAAGTGTAACCGTTGTGTAAATCGCAAGATTCAATTTCGCATGTGTAAAATGCACTTTGTCATATAAAATGGAAAATACTAATATATATATATATATATAAGTCGGAAAAATTATTTTAGATTTACTGTTGAAACAGCTTCGAGTGCAAAGGATTAAAAGGGAGAAATCTCCCCATTCGGTTGGCTAACTGTTAACATATTTTCTTACGCATTTATATCGAATAGATTATGTAAAAATGACAGTAAATTAGCAAATAAAATTGATTTCAATTTTCTTTTTATTCGAAACGTCGATGCGTAAAGCTTTCGTTACGTTTCAATTGCTGTAATGTACAAAAAAGAAAAGAAGACAGTTTTGCACCTCGTATAAAGATTCGCAGCGGATTTATGATGTAGGGGAACGTTATACAATAATATCGTGTGACACGACGCGTTAAGTAAAAGTAACATAATATGAAAAGTGAAAAATACGTATTGTCCGCAGGAAAGGATATACCGTATTAGCGAACGAATCGCAAACGTTCAGTGGATTTTAAATACCGTGTGGAAGCGATGAATTATATTTCTGCGGTGGTAACGGGACAACTATCCTGTTTTACCTCGCTTCAGATATTTTTCTGTTACCTGACCTTAAAAATCGTTCGTATTGAGTAGTAGAAAAATCGGAGGAATAATTAACCCTTAGGAGACCAAAACTATTGTATTTCCAGTTTACACACTGCTAAAGTCCGGACTGTTTTTTCAGACGAAGAGAAATATTTTTACTGAAAATTTTTCTATCAAATATAGAGAAGAGATATTAATTTTTAAAAAATAAAACTTCGTACCTATTCTTTCAATGTTTCCTGCCAGATTTTACGGTTTTATTGATTTCTGCCGCGTGGATGGCGGCATTGGACCGTTAAGGGTTAATACTCGTAAATAATCGTAAATCTTCTTTAAAAGACGCTGAACAGTTATTAAAAATAGTTTCATTTAAATGACCGTAATAATCATCGTGGTGATCGAGAACTATTTTCGCGAACGAACGCGTCTCGTCGATTTCGTTCAACGAAGAAACGAGTTCGTTAATTTTTGAATGTTTCACACCCTTAAAGCCGGCGTTTC